CCACTACTTTTCGATTTTGCATTTCTCTTTTTATTACCTCGGGTCAATCAGCCGCGGTTGATGTTTAGCAACAAATAAAAGACGAATGAAATTAACTACGATATCGTGTTATAAATCAGAATTAACTCAAAGCGTCTATCAGTCAAGCTGAATAAGAAAAACTGTGGAAAGAAAAAGAAATTCACGACTTTCGACGTTTGCTCTGCGTTTCCAGAGTAGTTTCTCTTTGGCTCCAGCACAACTCAGAACATAATGTTCATGATATAATTATTTAATATATCCATATTTTGCGAGGTAAAACTTTTTATTGTAAAGAGTCAATTTTTTATGGGAGATGACTGAATGGCCAATAATTTACTCGAAAACAGCAATAAATTGAGCGAAAGAGTTTGGAATACCGTACTGAAGGAGTTTTGGAGATTACAGCAACACAGCGAGCGAGTTTGAAACGCAGATTTTGAGCACGGCTTAAACAATTGATGAAGCTCTTGTTTCAACGAGAAAACTTCGCCTCTATTTACGGGATTTTTTTCTTCGGTTACCTTTAATTTTACAGCCGTACTTGAATGGCTCGAAAGCAATCAACAAACACCGACCGAATATTATTTCGAGTAGTTTAACCTTAAATATATTGACTTTTAAGTTTTCGCCGTGGTTGTATTTCGTTTCAACGGTGCTGCGGCTGCCTTTTTTTCGATTGTCTTCGATTTACTCGTAAATTATTGACTTTCATCTCGTTCTTTTTTAAAACATTTCACGTACTTGTAGAATTGTTGGGTACGAAATTACAAAGCCAAAAACAAACTTCATGCGCACAGAACGCGAATAAGAATCGATGAATACAGTGAGAAAGGGGGAAAAAAACACATCAAGCACGATGTATACAGCCAAAATACCATTATAAAACATCTCTTGAACAAAGGAACCAACACGAGAAAAAAAATCAAACGCAAAAAAGGTGAGGCAAAGAAAAAGAGATTGCCACGATGGGAAATCAGGTTTTGTTTCGCCATCACTACTACTACTGCTGCTGCTGATTTTGTTGTTACTTTTTTTGATTTTGTTTTGTCTTCATTTTTTTCGTATTTTTACGAATTGTCAGTGTTACTGTTTTTATTTCTTGATTTTGCGCGATTGTTGTTGCTGCTTTTTCTACAAATCCGTGCATTTTGTGGTCTTTTTCCTCAATACTCATCCAATGGAATATTGCTTTCAATAAAAATTGATTTAGAATTGCTTTTTATCATTAAATTTAATGATTGCATCGGTTGTTTCATTTTCGGGCGGAGGGCAATGCATCGATGACGAAAAACAATGATTATTTATTGCTGCAAATGCTCGACAGACCGAAAATCGCAAAGAACATCTAAACTGAGTCCACTGCGAACAAAGTCTCTTTTACGCTAACAGCAATTCGTACACGAATGAGTCAGTGCGACAGTTGGCGTGAGCGAGACAAAGTTTGACAGCAAACAATTTGGTTATATCGGTTTAAATGTTCTTTCAACAAACAAACAAACAAAAACCATCATTATTGTTATGAACATTTGGACATTAGGTCTTTTGACACGTGAATAATTGTTAAATTAGTGACATGATGGACGCTTCTCCGTATATATGTATACACACACAGACATTTTGCAATTTTTCAATTTAGCCACCGAACAAAACCGGATTTGGTTAGATGATTGCAAACAGTAGACCATCCCACATTTCGATCGACCGAGAACGGTGGAACGAATTTGGTTGATTTTCATCGCCACATTTTATTTGAAATATGCTGATTTTATGGCATCCACTCAAGCTATGCTCGATAGATATTGGCCTGATAAATACGATGGAACTATTGACTTTGCAAATTATTCAAAGTGCCCGAGCGTATAGAAAGCTGCTTTTTCGCTAATAGCGTGGAAATTCAATTAGACCATCGTTATGAATTCTCGGGAGAAATGGCAAAAATTAATCGAAGAAACAGTAAAAAAATGCACACTTCCTAGCTACGATTTTTCTGGAACTTCCTGGCGAAACAGGTCAATTCGAATGTCTTATCCAATTTGAGGATCTAAATTTAAATCAATAATTGCTATCTCAAAATATTCCGATAGCACAAGATAGAAGAGGAGATTGAAGAAGTAAATTCAATGGCATTTATTAAACGCAACCAATCTATTCTGTGCTTTGATGCGTTCCTTCAAGGAATTTGTTGTTTTGTATCATTTACAAGCCAAAGAAAAAAAAACACCAAAACTCGATTACTTTCCTTCCCATGAAATTTCATCTCTTCAATATGCATAACAGTGCTTCGCTCTAGTTGCCGAGTGTTGGCTGTATGTGGCGAAAATTACTGATGTCATTTGCAAACGTGATGTGGCTTGTCACTGAATGAGGAACGTGGGTGCAAATCACATCTCGTTGCATATCGCTTTTTTTCCTCCACGGTTCGAAATCTACGCATACATCTATACGATTTTCAGTAGAGTGGAGCGGTCTATACGATTTTACGTATTATCTGACGTTTAGAAGTGGTTTTTGCGGAGAAACATATATTCCGCGCTTGTATTAGTTAACTACGCATCTATCAACGCTACAGAATGTATGTTTCTCTGCAAAAACCGCTTCTAAACGTCAGACTATACGTAAAATCGTATAGCCCGCTCCACTCTACTGAAAATCGTATATATGTGTGCGTAGATTTCGAACCGTGTCTTGGCACAAAAAAAAGAGTTATGAAAAAAGTACACACACACAAGCCGAGAGAGAGAGAGAGAGAGAGAGAGAGAGAGCCGCTCAATATGCTCATGTGGTTGTAACTGTAGCAATGCATGTAATATATGCAAAGGCCAATCAATGATGCCACATTTAATTTATAAAATGTAGTCTCTGATATTCATAAAATAATTTGAGGAGTGAAAGCTTTGGGTGAATTATACATGCGCGTAATATGTACGGATATTGAAATGTATTCATAACACACTGCCAGCCCAGAAAACAACAGAATGGATATCTCACCTGTGGATAACACGTGCAGCAATCCTTTGAAGTGGAAAAATATGTATCACATAATATTCTTTGGTTTTGATTAATTCCATTCCATATCGGAATGTCATGCATAGGAATTGGAAGCCACGTGAGTGTTTCTGGTGACAGAGAAAGAGAGTGAGAAATGCGTCAATGCCGGCTTAGATCCTGGTTGTTTTTTTTTCTTCTTCTTCCTCTGAATGTGACATAACGACCATAAGATCCTTGACAAAGTTGTTCAAAGTACGCTTTTATGTAATCAATTCAATTCGGTGTTTTTATTAAACCAAGCGTCATTCTTACCAGTCAATTTCAATCAACAATTGTTTCGGTGATTTGTTCAAGCATTCACTTGGAAGAGTGTTGAGCAAACCAAATCAAAAAAAAAAAGAAACAAACAAATTTCATGGAAACTGATTGTGTGATGTGGACGTAGAAGAAAATTGGCCGATTCACAGTATATCACAAAGTGATATTTTTAGCATTGAAGCTCTTTTTTCACTTGGCACGATTGTGTGTTTGGTGGACTTTTATCTCTCGTCGTCTGCTTTGATAGACATGTTTAAATTTTTTAAATTGCTGCACAAATCAACGGTATTGGACCCTCGGATTAAAGTACTATATTATATACAATGCGTTCAAAACAAATTTATTTCGATAAAATGCTATAAACGGTTGATGTTGATGTGCTGTTTTTTTTTCTCTGCAATTTCGCATTCGTAGCCATGAATTGACCCTGATCTCAGCGGGCAATGCGCGAGGTACAGCAATTGTTTCTGATCACACTCATTCGTTTCGTTCATCTGTTCATATGTTCGCTGAATCGCTTGCCTCGTCTGCTGCTGCTGCCGCCTCATTTTTATACGCATTTTTATTCCTCATCTTGTGTACTGATGCTGCGAATATATATGTTAACTGTTCGTAATTCAACATAACGACTGATTCTATAACCGTCCCATTTATTATTGATGCACTAAATGAGATTCGAATGCCCACGAATACCATGGAAAAAAACAGTGCGACTACTGTTGTGTACATTTTTTTGTACTCTTTTCTTTCGCCCTCTCACGCTCTCTTCGGTGTCCCTCTCTGTTCCCGAGAATTTCGAAAAGGTAACATTGAGCAGTGAGCTGTGCAATATTTTTCTCTTAATAATAAGGATTCCCATTCGAATTGGCACACTCTGAATTTCGAAGAACCAAATACAGAATAATTCCATTCCAATTTTGGTTTCTTTCTCTCGCTCTCCGTCGCTCGTTGTTTTTTGTGTTCTGGTTTGTTGTTGTTATTGTTGAGCGTTTGATTCGCAACCTTACAATCAGCTTGCTTTTGAAACGCAACCTTTACGTCAGCTGCGTTAGAAACAAGTTAAGTAATCATGCTGGAAGGATTCCAATTAGTGTACACAGAATAATCGTTCACTTGACTGTTTTTTTTCTCTTCTTCTTCTTCTTCTCGTTTGCACAAGCTGCGAAGTCACCCAAATGTACTGTAGCGAATTTGGTGTGTGTGTGTGTGCTCTGTTCGTTTGCTTTTGTTCGACGAGTATTGGTGCTTCAATGATTTTTGTCAACAATGACATTAAACATTTGCTAGCTAAAAGTTCTAAATTTAGTTTTACGAATGAATTGCCTACACAGCAGCAGTTGCACCGAACAATAATTGCTTTCAGTAAGTTTATTGAAATGTGAACACACAAAAAAAAACGAATTTTGGTCAACAAAATGCGTTGTAAGCATCGAACAAAGAGGGCAAACCAAGTGTACTGTAATGTGTACAATTGCAGAAAGTATGGAAGTAACATGGTTAACGTAATATGACACTTTTGAAACGTGATTCTGGCTTTTTCCGACTTTGTTTGCGTTGCCGGCCACAACGAAAATAACGACAATGACAATAACAAACAACTTTGACACAACTTTTTTTTTGCCTTCGCCAACTACAATTGAACCAAAGTTTAATTTTCTTTCCTTTCATTTCAGCCTACGGTGTGTGTGTGTGTGCGTGTGTGCAAAAACACAAGTTCTTCATTTGGGCGATGCTCAAATTAAGAAGGCAGCTCAAGATAAAATAATAAACCAACAACGGGCAGGAGAACTAGAGAAAAAGCCAAACGCGCGAACGAGTGTAAAGCGAATCAAAAATATGGCAACAGACAATAGTCAATTAGATTTTCGATTAAAAATCTATGTCTTGGAATTGGATACAGTACCCATAACAATGGCACCACCACTACCATCGTCGACAACAACAATTCAACAATCGTCATCATCAACGGCAACGACAGCATCAACAGTCAACACAGCCGCCTCTGTAACCGATTATGTAACACGCACAATCGACACATTCGACATTAGCCGCAACAGCATAGACTACCGAGCCGAAGGCAATGCAAATATTGTACTCGCCATACCACATCGATGTCAGGTGTTACGTTTGCCAAAAAAATTCAAAAGGTTATACACAAAATTCTTTTTCATTCGACTCATGCAGCCAGCTCAAAATTCTAGTCAAGCCACTCATTTGTCTTTCTAATTTCATATGTTTGTTGTTGCTGCGTCTTTCTGTCTTCAATTTACGTTTCCAAATAACCTACATTTAACATTGAACCGATGAGAAAGACAAAAACTAATGAAAGAAAAGGCAAAAGGAATAGCAACAACTAAAACCCAGTCCAGCACACTCTGTTCATTCTAAACACGGCGAATTTCGGTAATTGAGTAGAAACAACGAATAACGCATAAATAGACATCACGCGAATGAAACGAAACGAAAAAAAAACATTGCTATGCTTTATTTTTAACTTTCCAGTTTTATTTAAATCCATTAATAAATAAAAAAAGGCGTTTTTCAAGAGATATGAATAATGCGAATTGTCATTCTGTCGAATTTATTCGATTAAACCTGAATTTATTGAAGGAATTTCCGAAGGAAAGAATGAAAAAAACGTCTCAAAAGAAAGCATAATCAAATAGCATGGTTTCGAACGAAAAAAACAAAAGCCGAAAAAATATATATACAGAGCCGATTTTTGTTGTTGCTTTGCACAAAAGTGTTATCATAAAAATGTATCCGAAGGCTAAGTACCATCATATTACCATGTAATTGTAACCATTTCGACGTCCTTTGCTTGCGAAATTAAATTTAATGAATCGGTTTTTGTTGTTGTTCCGTTCCTTTTGCCATGTCTCTTTGTTCGTGTCATCTGATACATGTAGTATTTCGTTTATTTCATTTATTTTTTTTTCTTCTTCTTCTTCTTCTGACTGTACACAATTTTTCACTTGTACTTTGTGTAATTTTTCACTTGTATTCACTGCGTTGTGTGTACATATTTTTTTTTTCGCAAATATTTTCAGTAAACAAAACATCTGCCGTGCAGAAACCGCAAAAGAATATGGTTGGCAAAACGAACGCATTTTCTACGTGTATAAATACATCGATCGTGTTTCGACGCTGTTTGGACCAAATATATCAAGCCGACCGATTTTAGTGCGGATCGAATTTTGCAATGTTGATTCATTCGATACATGGTTACACAACCACAGGCCATTGCATCGCATTCAGTCGATGATGATAACGATGACACCGACGAAAAGAGATGATTTTGATTTTGATTATGGTTTACTTTATCACGACGCCTGTAGCCTAAATTTAAATTTGGAAAGTGTGGCCATGCCACGAAACATCTCTAGCAATAGCGGCATTAACATCAGCAGCGGTGATGTGTTGGCCGTTGAGATTAAGCCAAAACAAGGATGGGATATATGTGCGCTGCCCGAGTGGTTGCTGGAATTATTTGAGATTGGCCATGGTGTGCGGAACAAATGTCGATTTTGTGCAATGCAACATCTCAAGGTGGGTTTAGTGTTTGCCGCCTGCGCCGCCACACACAATTTACCTAATTGGAATGTCATTTTCTGGTCTATGTCTCATGATAATTGTTTATTTTTGGACGAAAAAAAACAACAATAACACATACAGGTTAGGGGACGACAAGTACATCAGCTCAGCAAATACTGTCCATTAGATTTATTCTCTGGGTAAATATCGATAAGTCGGCAACCGATTCGAAACGGAAACATTTATCCATCTTTTTGGTTATATGTTTTCTGTTGCTATTACATCTCTCTTTTTTTCCATTTTTTTCGGTCGTTGTTCACAGTGACGCTGTACGCATGAAAAAATCCATACGTAATTTAATCACTGCTCCTCAAAATAATTTTCGAATTTTTCGGAATGGGCAGCTCGTTTTTGGCGATGATGATGATGATGACTATCAGGAGCATGCTTTACAATCCATATTATCCCCGTACTTTGGTGCAAATTCGTAATATTGTGGAATTTTTTTTATTCAAAATGCAGATCCACTGAGACGATGATAAATTCATTTTGCTTTTCTCTCCCTCTCTCTCTCTCTCTCTCTCTCTCTCTCTCTCTCTCTCTCTATCTATCTCTCCATCCACAGAAATAACGTGAACGATTTTATATCGCTGTTGGTGAATATGTTGCAATATGATTTTGTGAGTGGCTGCGATCCGCGCTTCGCTCAAGTGGAGGTAAGTGGGCAATTGGCATGAAATTATTATTTTAAATCCATCATCTTCAAACGAAACGTACTTTTCCGCGCGCACACACACACACACACACACACACACACAGGCAAACGATATAATTTCGGAGTCGGAAACAGCGAAAAATCAACTCTCTGCATGTATTACATCGAATTCCAGCCATTTACCAAAGCAATCGGTATTGAAACGTGTTCTTGACTTACAACTACTTGCAAAGGTAAACGTTTTTCTCTCTCCTTCATTCCGACGAAAAAAATCATATAAAATACGGAAGTAACAAAAAACAAACTAAAGATTCGAAAACGATTGATTCCATTCAAATAGAAAACCATTCCATATGTTGCCCAAAAATATACCGAGAACTCAAACGGATGGGAAAATTTAATCAGAAGCAAACAATGGCCACACTTACATGTCATCGCATTGCATGAGAAACTGGGCCGCCACACAACCCATCAAAATCCCGTTGATGTAATTGACTATGAATATTTGAAAAGTACGTGCAATTTGAGTGACGAAGAAATATATGAGATTGGAGCGACTGCGCTCGACTCTTCCATCATGTTGACATTTCAGAGTTGCGGCCAACAAACCAATCATAATTTGGGGTAATTTGGATAACATTAGGACACACTTAAATCGTGTTATTCAAAAAAAATCATTATTTGTACTTTTAGGTATCCATTAGTTAAACTAAATGATCAACAGTTCATTGTAAATGCAACCGTATTCGATTTAGATCCAAAGCTTTATCCACGTCATTTCATGAAATACGTACAAAAAACACGAGAATCATTCAATGCATATAAACTGTTTCTAGGTGCTAAACATTTGTGATATTTTCTATCGTTGATTTTTGTTTTTTATTGTATCAAAGTGGCTTTTAATCTGTCTTGTAACTATTCCGTAACATTTTCTATTCGTTCAATAAATTAAAAAAAAAAGTGTAATCAAAACAAATCATCAACTGTATTTTTCAAAGCCATATTTGAAGCGATTGGCAAGAGATGGCGCTAAAGAAAAGTTTGCGACGTCGCTTTCAAATAATTTAATGTCAATGCTCAAAACTCACGTAATTATCACCACGAATTTACTCTATTCACTCGTCGTATTTATCCAGAATTCATTGTATGTGAGAATTTTTCCATTAAGTCACCTGCTCCTAAGGTGTGGATTTGTATCTTCTTTTTCTGGATTTGTTCATATATTTGGATAAATCGCATTAGCAACGGACTATTTCGACTATTCGAAAAAAAATCGTATAATTTTTATTCGATTAGTTCAACGTTATTTTTTAATTTAATTGCATTCCGTATATATCGTGATAATAAAAAGTAAAAATCATTGTAAATTCAACGATTTTGAATTTAATTTTTAAAAAACCATTTTTTGTCGTGTTTATCGCACTGAAAAACAGCTAAAGTCATCGAAAAGATAACATTTCCTCAATTAAATCGATAACAACCGTAATATTTATTGACAACGAACAACGAGCCGCCGATAAGTGAATCAAACATCTCAAATAGGTTGGCGAAAGGAATTCCCATTATTGTACGATCAGATTACGACGACGATAATTTGAGAACGGTTCGTTCTTTTCGAGTTGATTTTGATTGGATTGAAAAAAAACCATTTTTATCGACAGACTGGTGTACAAATCCATCATTCAAACCATTTGACGACAATAAATGCAACGCATAAAGGTGATCTTCCATTTGGTTCGACAAAAAATTCGTCTAAAGTTTGCGAAGGCAATATATTAGGAATGCCATGTTCTACATAACTGCACACACAGTCACGCAAAATCAATTTGCAAACACTAACACCGAACATCATCAATTGCCCAGTCCCGATCCATATTCGGTGTGCATTGATCCACTTGGCCCATACGGATTAGGCACTGCCGATGAAAAGAAACCACCAATCATTCTACTCCCGTATACAATTGACAAATTGCCTAGGAAGAGCAGCGGTGATCTACATCAGATTATAATTTCCGATGGTTTGAGGTGAGCATGGACAGTTTTAATGGACATTTGGATTTTTTTTAGATTTTTTCTAATTCAAGTTTTTTTTACATTTCAAGTAGCGAAAAATTAAACATTGAATCAAATGAATAAATAAATTTAATTATCATTTTATTCATGTTTTTGTGTTTGACTTTAGTCACTTTGAAAAAAAAATTGGTTCAGAGTCATTCATAATCATGTGAATTAGTCGAAAAAAAACAGTAAAATGGAAAAAATTCAAGAAGAAAAAAAAACGAAAAAAAAAATCAGAAAATAATCGTTAATCAATTTTTTCCAATCAATTCCAGAACTCACACGACATCAGTAAGCAGTACGAAATCGTTGTTGAGCGACACAAGTTTGGATCAAACCGGTGCTCATTGGGGTAGTGAATCGATTTTTGTGATAATGATGGCATTAATATTTGCACTTTTGCTATTAACGCTAATCACTTTAGTTTCTATTAAAATAATCGGTTAAAAACCGTTCGATAGATTTGCTCAAATTGAAAATTCGGATAATAAATCCCATTTGGATTTAAATTGTAAAATAGTATTGGAACCAATGACAAAGAGTTTCAATCAAAGAAATAAGCACAATCGATTTGATAGAGGAAGCGAAAAAAACAGTGTATAATTTAGATAATAATTTAAAATAGCCCGTGTTTGGACTTTACTGTGAATGTTTTTTGTACATGCGTTCAATAAATCGTTGTGATGTCGTTGTTTGTACGTGTAACGGAAGGGAAAAAAATATTCCACTTGTTTTCTTTTTGTAAATGCTTATCGATGACTTTTGAGTACTCTTTCACCAGTACTCTAATTGATTGGTGAATATCGCGTTGAAAGTACATGCGATCACTTTTTGTTTTAATTTGCTGGTTCTGTGCTTGCTTCTGACGAGTGCTTGCACTTCTCAACGGAAGCAGTAGCATCAGGTTCTGCTTTCTTATTTATTTATGCTTTTTTTAATGATGTGAATAGGTTTTCAATGGGCAGTAGCAACGAGCATACATGTCTGCAAATATGTCACGTAGACAATTGGAAACAAAACAACGCATTACATTGACATTCTAGCGAATGGCTTAGGCGTTCCATTTATCTATTTTACCACGAATTCCTATTGTTGTTTTTATTCTTAACAGCAGCCGGTGTTGGCATTAGCAGCATCAGTGGTTGCAACGGCATAAACCACAATTGCAGTTTAACACAGTTTTGTATTTCAACTAATTATGGCGAATACGTCAACGAATGATGATAAATGAAATCGGCAAAAATGTGCCTTAGTTGGCACGCAGTTGGATTAGTTTTTGCTTCGCTGGATGCAGTGAATTCTCACCACTTTGATGAGAATAATCACTATCGATGCTCTAATATTTCAAATATGGTAAGAGAAAATGAAAAAAAGGAGAAAAAAGCACCGAGTGAGAGGATTGAGACTGGAACGACATCGTCTTGAAATTATCATCGTAGGAAAAAAAAGAAGAAGAAGAAGAAGAATCAAGCGATATATTTATAATTTCATTCCAGTTACAATTTTTTGGATTGACGGCGAATGTGCGTCACACTTTTCAACAGCGAACAAAAAAAATGATGAGACAAACAAGCCTCAATCAAACGTACGACGACGATAACACACATTTGTGCTCCCAGATGGATTCGTGTTGTGCAAATTTTCATACAAATAGATGCCAACGAACTTAGTTCACATTATCTGTGACAGAGAGAATTGAACGAAATCAAAAATTGGAATTGGTTGTTCCATATACCCACTCATTATACTGGCACAGTTCTGACACATTTGAGCTACGATGCGGTATATTACTGCTAAAATGCGGTAGTTTTGAGGTGACAAGGCTAAAATCATCGAAATTTGACATTCGATTGCATTGTTTCAAATTAAATTTTAACATTCCATGAAAATCGGTCAAAATCATGGCTATTTTATAAGATATTTCTTCCTGTAGACCTTCAGCAAGGCCTTTGTTCGGTTTCTTATCGGCACACTCTTTCGATCAATAAAAATTACGGAAAAATTTGGCACGAGCAATTGCAATCGAACATTTGGAGTAATAAAAGTCATGATCTGCTTGTGTTTGGACGATCCATACAATAAATTGACGCCGCACAATTCCAATCAGTTATAGAATTTAGAACTTGCTCTTCTTAGCGCGTCGATGCCTTAAATGTCGATGCATAACGTGCCGTACTGCGATCGCATAAAAACGTTTGAATTCGAATGACAAAGCGACAACATAATTTAGCATTTTTATGTGTATTTCACAGCGTTGTGTTCTCCGATGAGTGTGTGTGTGTGTGCAGTAAACACATCTGTGTACACAAGCAATCGGCACAGGCGAGCTAAGCGATACGACAAAAACAAAATACAATCGTCTTCATCGTCGTCGTCGTCGTCGATGCCGAGACAGCAAAAATATTCTCGCTTAACGTTATGAATGCAAGTGAAAAAAAAAGAAATAAAGCAACAACAATGGCTAAACACATCTCTCCTTATTTTATGCGTGTGTTATTTAAGGTTTGAAGAAAACAACGGAACGAAGAAAAAAAGAAGAAGAAAACACTCAACGACTTTTTTCTTCTTTTGTTGTTCAGTTGATAAAGCATTTCTGTAGTTCATATGCGGAATAAGTTCATATCATCGGCCAGTCGATCGGTTATTGTTCTACAGTACGGTCATAAGTTAAGTGTCGTCTCACTCTCTACTCTTTATTTACAATTGTCATTCAATTTCAATTGTGTTCACATTTGTTTTATGAAAATTTGAGTGTCAACCATAAACGTTCTCTTTTTTTTTGTCTCGAATATTGCATTGAAAGGACTGTAAAATGTGGCTGGTGTCACACCGATTGTGCGCTTGCATTCTGTTATTTATTTTAGTTTGCAGTGAATTGACCGAAGCCGCTGCGAAACATCAACGACGTTCCAAAAAACGAGAGAGAAAATGTGGATATGATGTGAGTGTTGTTGCTTAGTTCATGCATTAATTAAGCGGGCATGAACACAATTCGTTTTTTTCCCCTTAAATTCATGCGCCAAATATGGAGTAGTCATGTTGATAATGGAAATAGCACGCTTTCATTCTGAGAAAATAGATGGTTTGAATCTGGTGTGCAGGAAAAAATATTCGTCACTTTTGTTATAAAAATAAATAAATTCGCTGATAAAACGGTGATATTCAAGCAAGTACTGCTCTCGGTTACAGTCTTTGTTCTGAATGCAATATTCAAATTGACAAACAGGTTCAAGTGTTATGAACAACTCTCACTCTCCGAAAAATCCTGTTCTTTTGGTTTAATCCCGGTTTTCTCTATCGATAGACTCTTTATATCCGAATTTGTTGATGAATATAGCTAATATAATTGATAATCGAACAAAGAATGATAAGAATAAAAATTGAAGAAAAAAATGATGAAGCAATGAGAATAATTTCTCTTTCGAAATGTACGGAAACAATGACCCTCTATCTCATCACTCTTTTTTGCTCTCACACCAGAGGACAACAGCAGATAACATTTTCAATTGAATTTAGAGTTCAATCAAGTGATACTTTGCACAAACAGATACGTAACACACGATGAGTAATAAGTGGATTTCATAAATTAACACCGATAAGAAATTGAATTAACTCAGCTCAGCTCAGGAAGTTTGACATTATTAGTCATTTAAAACGCAAAACATAAACAAAATAGTGAGAACGAAAGTGGTACTTGTCGAAAAAAACAAAACCATTCAATTCTAAATTTATAAATGCGTGCATTTAATGATGGGTAATTTTGAACTCGAGTTTTAAGGATTTTTCAGTCAATCACCTTTGGATGATTCGAAGACATAAAAGAAAAATTCCAAATGGATACTAAACATATTTTTGTTCTAATTTCTTACATTCAATACGTTTCTAACAGTTTCTGGCAGAGAAACACCATTTCATCAAATATATGAAACATATATGAATACGCAGTCTCACTTAAACGGGAATTCCCATTTCCCGTGTTAAAAATAGACGAAATGTTGCTCATAGAATGTGTGCATATGAATCGTTGTAATGCAGAACATTTTTATTTTATTCTTCTCCCTAGAAGTGTGATTTTGTGATAAAAAAAACAGCCTTTCTAATCATGAAAATAGTAAACAATACAGCGGCACCTGGGGACTAAGTGCAACGTGTCATACTTTCAACGTTTGAAATACACAGACGCACTTACACAAACGCATACTTGTTACAGCAAACTATGTGCATGATTCTCTATTTCTCCAACCAGTCGCCAGGTGACACTTTATTGTCCTTGTTTGACGTTTCCTATCTATTTGTACAGATGATAAGAGAGGCTGAAAAAAGTACAAAAGAATAATGATGTATTGTTTTTTGGTTTATTTGTTTTAAAACTGTGATAAACTTTGTATTGGACTTAATCACATTGTATACAAATGTGTACCCTTATCATACACTATTACCGTGACGAATCTACTTGAATACCCCAAGTTCAAAGTAAATACTATAAATTATCAAACATTTTTGTTTTTTTCACTGGAACACAATAAAATTTATTGTTTTATTTATTGATCTACTTCGATTCATGGATGGTTTGATTGATAAAAGTAACGCTACTG